CCCCCCCCCCCTTCAAAAAAAAAAAAAAAAACTATGTTATGCAGAAAAATAAACTGAACAAATTTTGCCTCAGGGGCCTGGACCCACTAGCGAAGTACTCTACTATGTGTGACAGCATTTTGTATTTTTTTAATGTTTTTTAAGTGGTTTTAGTATTGAATCAAACAAAATTGCTGGGGCTGCGTAGCCTGTCTACGGGCCTGACTCCACCACGCGTTACTGCACATGCATTTGGATGCTTTACTGCACATGCATTTGGATGCTTTCAGGAGGTTCATTGGGACGAGTCAAAAAATATGAATGAACTGAGTCAAAAAATCTGAATGAACTGTGCCGAGGAAGAGTCCAAATGCATGTGCAGTATTATCCTCACGTTGCTAGGCCCTACGTCCCCCCCTCTGCAGTAAAACTGCCATGTCTGACGGAACGATATTAACTGGCCGCAATTTTTTTTAATTTTTTTTTGTAGTATAGCAAGACGTAAAAAGCAACGTGCGAAGTCTTGAAAACGCCCCCATCCTCCAAAAATCTGGAAATTGAGACCAACGTCAAAATAATATCAATAAAAAATTCCAGTAGCAGCCAGTTCATTGGTCGGTGCTTTCTCATGGGCACCACTGTATACTGCATCAGGTGGGCCGGTCGATGCAAAGTGAGATGTGCGGTTCGCGTCTGTCACCCCCAGCTGCACCTGATCGAAAACGTCAACCACGGAGTAGAATACCTCGCTACTGGGTCCAGGCCCTAGGGTCACGTCGAAATTCTTTGTCAAAAATTTTATAATATCTCTACTCTTCGCGAGAAAGACACTGAGCTCTATCAACAGGTTGGTGTTCGACGGTGCTGGATCGTTCAGAGTGCCGATGAAGTGGCGATTGACCTAAAAAACAATGTATCGTCTCTTCGTGGCCTCTCTCCTCGCACTGTTGATTTAACCACAATGTGCACCAACCTTCCTCATGACTGCATTCTGAATAATGTGGCAAAAGCTGCTGATGAAGCTCATGCTTATGCCCTTCGGCAAGCTCGCACACATTCACGCTGCGTTGCCCTCAACATGGTTATTCGAGGACCTCGTTGTGGCAAATGGACAACTGATTCAGGCCCGGATACCCTTTCTGTTTCTCAGATTCTCCAACATCTTCGCTTTGTTGTACAAAACGCTTTTCTATACACGTGAGATGGCACGCTTCGGAAACAAATTATGATCTGCAAATGACTGACCAGCAAACAACCCAACACAATTTGGGCTTGCAACACCATCTGGGTGATCTGCAAATTGTTGGCCAGCATCCAACAAACCAGGCTGAGAACCTCACCAATCTCTGTGGTCTGACACCAACTAATATCTATCTTCACATTCTCCACCGCCTGTTTTATACACCATCAGACTTCTGTGCAATCACCCTTCAGCTTGATGCTGATCTTCCCCAACGACCGCCAGAGGATTGTAATTATACCAGCGAAGGAGGCTTTACCATTGCTGTCCTGCAAGTAGCAATGAGGGACTGTCAACTTGAACTACGCAATGCTCGAGCAAGTGAGTGGTTTAATCCTCCATCCCAAATCTCTGCCTGCATTGTGCGGTTTAATCCTCCATCCCACATCTCTGCCTGCATTGTGCACGGCCCTGACCATTACATGGCCATTGTACATGCCTCTGACCACTGGGAGCTGTGGGACAACGGCACCATGGTCCATGCAATGATTGATGTCACTGATTTCTTACAAAATGATGCTGTTTTCTTGCCACAACAAACCGTCCGCAATCTCTTTTATGTCGAGGACCATTCCTCTGGCCCCGTGCTGCAGCAAGACAATGTACCAACACTCTGCGACCTTCTCCTTTGCACAGCCACAAACACTGTTACACTCGGCTGTAGCCGCCATCGTCTCTGTCACAATCACTACAATGACAGTGTTTCTGCATCCATGTGTGCAGAGGACTGTCCCACCGTTCCTGACTGCAGGCACCCTCCGCATCCGGACACTATATGTCCATTTTGCGGCCATGGGCGCTATACTATAGCATGCTCTTTTGTGGTGACCGTTCTTCTTTCATTTTGGCCTGCAATCGACATGCCATTTGTCGGGGGTGTATGGTGGGTGGACATGCTCAATGCCACCCGTCGTGGCAATTGTTGCACTGAGAATGCTCAGCTAGGTCTTCCATGTGTTCATCCACGTCATCCTTACAATGTATGTCCTCTCTGTCGTCAAGGACAGACTCATTCTTGAGCCTTTTCTTATACTCTTTTGCCTTCATCTTCACTCCACACTCCATACTTTCCCTTACTTTCCCTTTATCGTTCTTTGTTTGTCTGCTCTCCATCTCTCCTCCCTGTGTTTATCCCGTCCCCCTTCACTCTGCCTCTTTCTCACAGCGTACAAGTGGGCTGTTATGGCACACGGGGATGGGGGCAGCTTGAGCTCAACTTCATCAACGTGTTGAGCCTTGTACGTGAGAGGCACGGTGAAAGGGGAGTCAAAAAAAGAATGAGAAAAATGAATGGTTTCACTGTGCCCTTCATGTTTGTCTTGTTTTTTTAATTTTTAAATTTTGACGTTTGTTTCGCAAATTGCGCTCTTTTAGTTCATAGTTATGTGACAATATATTGAGTCGGAGTTTCAAAAGTTTGTCACAACCCCTCGTTTGTTGTCCTCCCTCTCTGCATACGTTTACTGGGCAGCTCTGTTTCACTATATAACAGCCTCCTGATGAGTAGACTCCGACAAAACAGTCCCTCATTTGTTGTCCTCTTCTCCGTCTCTGCCTACGGTTTACCGGGCAGCTCTGTTTAACAATACATTGAAACAGTGTGAGCTCAGTTGTGTTGTCAGTTCACACTTCACATTAATTATTATAGGTAATCTGAGCTCCCACTGTTTCAATATATAATTATTACAATAATGGGCTGTGGTCCCGTTTTTCAATATATAATTATTATAATAATGGGCTGTGGTCCCATTTTTTAAAGGGCAGCATGTGGGCCACAGATGAAACAGTTGGGTTCTGCAACATACATTGAAATTTGAAAGTGGTGGACATCGTTGGTGATTGATTACGTAATCGATCAAACAAGAAAAGACATCAATTTCAGTGTGTTCATCAGTTCCATACGTCGGTGTATATTGAGAAAAGACTCAGCTGCATCACCCATGGACCGCTTTCTAACCATGAAAAATGGGGTATTCATGGAGAAAATTAGTTTCAAGTTACTATTAACCTCTTTGTCAATGCAATGGGAACTTATTCAACAAAAGCTTCAATCCGGTCCAAAGCAATGTCAATCAAGTCTTGATTCAAACCAATCAATCAATGAATCAGCACATGCCGAGATGTCAACAGCAGAATAGATGATGCTTGGAATGTAGATGGCAACTCTTTATAGTCCTCAAGACTCGAGTCTTTATCAATCTGGCACTTTTTTTTTCCCCCCAAACAAAAGGAGTTGCAATGCACTCCAATCTCTTACTCAAGTTACTCTGCTTTCCGCTTCCAGAGTCGAACGGCACGGTACGAATCTAGGGGGCCCCCGTATAGAGCCTCTGTACACGACTCCAGACTTTTGGGGTCAGGTTCCCACAGTGCTTTTCTTTCCTCTTTATATTTTGCATGTATGTTGATTGAGTGTTTCCTTCCTGGGGTGCCTTCTTTCTTTCTTTCTTTTTTTTTTTTTTTGTGTGTGTGCACTTGGCGATCTTGAATTGCAGTCTTCGTTATGTGCCTGGCCTCCCCCATGGCTAAGGCGAAGACAAAGGATGCTGGAGTGTCTGAGCTTAATTCACCTGAAGGGTCCGCTAATATCATGGACATGGATGGCAAGAAGATACTAACTCAGGCGCCAGCTGCAGAAGTCAAGTCGAATTCCCATACGGCTCGCTGGCGAGTGTTCACAGATGTGGGGAGAAATATGTTCGCACAGGTATGTGTCATCATGTCTTTCCTTTAAATATGGTTTGTCCTTTCAGAAGAAAGAAGAGCTAAGTACAGATTCTACAGAGCGGACATGTTGATGAACTTGATGCTTTTTTTTTTTTTTTTTTTTCCAAGTGATGTTCCAGATCTGGGGAAACAGAAAGTGATAGCACAGTCTAGGCAACCTGCCACTTGGCAATAGTAATTACTAATAACTAGGCACAAGGAGAGTAGTTAGTTAGATCACCTCTACCTCCGGACTTGACCATCCCAGCCTAAGGAGGCCAGGTGCTGTGCCGGTTTCTTGAAGACTGACGAGACAAAATCAGGACCTACTCATCACTGTTTTGAGTAAAAGGAATCCCTCTCCATAGTGATGGCTCAAACAGTCAAACTCACTATGTGTGTGTGTGTGTGTGTGTGTGTGTGTGTGTGTGTGTGTGTGTGTGTGTGTGTATGTGTGTGTGCACCCTCATATTCGCTGTACACAACTCTAAGAAAAGCATGACTGTGCCAGACTGCTTCATCTGGCTTTCACCGACTCGTCAGGGGTTGTGTGTGTGTGTGTGTGTGGTTGTGCGTTTCGCATCCGCACACGCACAATGACTTTGGCGGTTGTGTGTGTGTGTGTGTGTGTGTGGTTGCGTGTTTTGAACCAAGCGCGAGTTCCGTGCTCTGTGCCGGAACTGGTTTGATTAACATAGACAGTTGCGGTTGATGATTGGCGGTATTCAATAATTGGTATTTGTCTCCTGTTGTGGAATTCGGCGGTCTTTTGCTTGGATATTTATTATCATGCAGTTAGCAGTTCATTGCGCGATTTGGACGGTCGGTTGCCCTAAAAATACGAACACAAGTCAGACCAATTTAGGCTGTGTGTAGTACTGGATTCTGTATTAGATGAGAGGCTCCTATGGAGCACCACTGGCGAGACTCTAGAGTCTCGCCAGTGGGGAATGCAGTGGGGAATGCTGTTGTTGTCTTCGGCTCTGAAGGATCAGCCGGGCGTTTTGCTGTCCCTGGGCTCCTACCTTGTTCTGCATTAGGGTGGGGGGGGGGGAAATGGGTCGCACAACGACGGATTAATCACCACGGAGATGGATTTGGTTGCATTTGTGTCTGTATTCATTCATCTACACAAATTTGAAATTTCACACATGCTGTTGAATGGGGCAGACAGTGCGTGTTGTCCGCTCATCGGATGCATGCCAAATCACTTAACTCGGTTGACTGCCAAAAAAAGCGATTGATGGTAAAGGCAGGGTCTTCACCCAGAGCGAATTGGTTTGGCCGACGCTCTCAGACGAACAAGCATATTACAAGAATGGATGACACCTGTGCAGTGTGCATCACCCATCACTCGAGTGAAAGAGGGAATGCAATAATATTAATGGTCATGACAACCATATCATGAGAGACAGCTGCCTGAAGGAGGCATGATAACGTCATTGGTAACATGAAGGGGAGGGAGAGATCAATGGAGAGAATGTGTCTCCTTCTCAATCCCATCCTGTGATAGAGAAGAGGGAGGGACAGAGGAGGGGAGGAAGAATGATTGGGGCGGAATTACCCATGCTCCCCAGACTAAGCTCAGAATCAGAATCTCCAGATCCCCCCTCTACCGGGCCCACCAATTAAATAAGAAGAGACTGAATAGCCTTCCCAAATTTACTTTTTGTCCCCCTTGTAATGTCTAGTACACTCGTGTGAGATCGTTAAGTGCATCTACATCGGTAGGGGGGCAACACCAACAGCTACAAGGACTATCAGATGTACTCGCATTAGCATCTTTTTAGCCTCTGATTAGCATCTTTTTAGCCTCTGATTAGCCTCTGATTAGCATCTGATCAGCCTCTGATTAGCCTCTGATTAGCATCTGATTAGCATCTGATTAGCGTCGGAATAGCATCTGTATTAGCCTCTGTTTAGCCTCTGATTAGCCTCTGATTAGCATCTTTTTAGGCTCTGATTAGCATCTGATTAGTCTAGCCTCTGATTAGCATCTGAATAGCATCTGATTAGTCTCTGATTAGCCTCTGATTAGCATCTGACTAGTCTCTGATTAGCATCTGAGCAGCATGTGGTTAGCCTCTGGTTAGCATCTGATTAGCATCTGAATAGCATCTGACTTGCAGCTCTCAAAGACACAATGACATGAAAAATATCATGGAGAGGAGGAGGTAGACAAAGAAATGAAAGAAGACAATCTCTTGCTGGCACACATGCAGCTGCTCGACAGATGGAGAGGAACGGACTGAAGTGAGGAGTAAGGAGGCTGTGAAGATCTTTGAATTTCGAACCAATTAAATAAAACACGATTTGGAAAATTTTGGCTGCAAAAGAAAGCCAAACTTGATGAAAATAAGAAAAAAACGCTGAGTACTGTGCAACGCTCCACAGGCCAAATTCCTAGCAAAGTTTTGGGAGGCATTAGAGCAATCACTGCTCGTGTACCTCAGCACGTGGACATCTTTGACAAGCAGTGCTGATTGCAGTGATTGGGAAGTTTAGAGAGGCATTGGAGGAAGCCTTATTGTAAAGAAGGGTCGGCATACAGGGATCAAACATAAGTATCCTCTGGAAAGTATTCTCTGGAAAATATTATCTGGGAAGTATTCTCTGGAAAAAAAAGTGATAAGCAACCTCTCGTGCACTACAGCAATGTGAAAGCGTATTTGAAAGAATGGAGGGAAGGGTAGAGGAGAGAACGGGGAACAGGGGGACTGGTTGAAGGAATGGGTGGAAGGGTATCCTTTCAGGAGAGAACGGGGAACAGTGAGAATCCGGGCCAGAGAGTATTTAAGGCTTTGTAAGGACATATATGTCCTGGTTTAGGGTATGCGTGAATGGGGGAAACAATAGGAGAGTACAAGCAGCTTTGCTTTCCCTGGAAAGAATGTAAACAAGCGGTCGGTTCCCCACAAAAACAACGTGAAACAGACCACTTGGAGGGGGAGAGGAGAGAAAGGGGAACAGTAAGAAGTGGGGCAAGAGTATTCACACAATTCTGTCCAGCTCAATGATGCACCGGGGACCAGCATGATGCTATGGAGGGGGAGAACCAAGAATTGGCGCAAACCTCCTTGTAGAGCATATCAACGTGCTAACCCTTCCTATGCGAACGTCATCGTCTTCCCCAATGCCTTATGCATCTGGGATTTGTCGAATTGTCGATCTGTCGACATTGATCTCTGGAATTCTCCACCTCATCCTGGAAGAAGTGCGGGAAAAACTGATTTCATTTCAAGCTCCACTCTCTTGTGATGATACGTTGACTTCGATCCGCTGGGTTGGATTCATTTCGTATGGATGTATGAAGGGTCGCTTGGAAGAGGCAGAGAAGTATTTCCGGAAGGCACTAGACGAGTCAAAGCAGGGGTTCGGAGAGGACGATCCTCATGTCGCTTCAAGCTGCAACAATTTGGTAAAGTATAATTATAATATGCCTATTGCCTTCCTACAAACCTCCTTATAGTGTGATGCATGACCTCGTGTTGAATGAAACAAAAAAAAGAAAAGAGAAAAGAAGGAAGAAGGAAGAAAGAAAGAAAGAAAGAAAGAAAGAAAGAAAGAAAGAAAGAAAAAGCTTCAAAAAAGGAGTTCCAGTGGTGCAGCCATCAGTTTTGGCCCCGGAAACGCCTTAGCTATATGCGGTTTATGTATGAATAGCGTTGTTTCAACACGTTTGCGGTTTCCTGGGAGTTTGAGTTTGTCCACTTTGATGACATCCATCCTCATATCCAATGAAGTGCTTTTGGCAAAGACATGGATCATCTCCACCTCCACCTCCATCACCGAATGTAGTATAGTGTTTCAGTGAGAGTTCTACGCAGTTTGACTGCAAGTTCATGGCTTAGTTTCGTTGTGACTTGCAAGTGTTATGAGCTTGATGTCAAATCCGCTTGCAGACCGCCTTGGCCGTCTAGCGTTGACAGGAGAGGGTGCACACAGATGGTTCCAAACTAAAAGGCCATCGTCGACATTCTCTTGCATTAAAATTTAAAAACCTGCAGCAGTTGTAGCATTCAGTGGGTCTCGATTTAGTTTTTTGCTTTTATGAAGCGTTTTTTTTTTTTTTTTTTTTGGTAAGGTCCATGTCGTGGTAAAGGGTGGCTGCTAGGCCTCGGGAGGTGTCTGTTGTTGTCGTACTCAACCAGTGAGGGGATCGGATGGCTTGTGACAACCTAAAAGCCTTGGGCTTTTATGAAAGTTTTTATAAAATTTTATTTCATTTTGTTAACTTTGTTTTTCCGGTCTTTTTTGTTGTTGATTCTGCGGATGTTGTTGAATACCTGCTGCGTCAACTTTAATGAAAAGGTGAAGTTTGTGAAGTTGTTTGAGCCATCCGCAGAAGTTGATGTGCATGTGACAAAAGGGTCAGACCTTGGAACAAAGCCTTTCTTAAAGTTTCTTTTGCTTTTTCCTTTGGAGAAGTGAAGTGCCTTGTTAGTGCAACGTCAGTCCCTGCGATCGTGAGATCTGAGAGACCCTCCATGTGACTAAATACTAAAGACGCCTTGGAGTATGCTCTCTGCTAACCTTTTCTTGATTTTTTTTTTTTTGTTTTTTTGCCCCTTTTAAACCACAAGTACCTCTGAGGATTTCTGCTGCACTTTGTCTAGTGCTGCGAGCCAAAAAGGTCCGGGAGGCTGAGCCTCCGAAGAATGTGGTGGTGCTCCCCTGGTGGACAAATTCATCATTGAAGTTTGCCTGGGAGAGGATCTGGTGGTCTCGACCAACTCATGCTGTATCATGCTGTTTTTATGAAAAGCAGCTTGAATGGCAGGCAGGTGTCCTGACACTCCTTGTCAACAGTATGTGCTATTTCCTGGCTGCGACTGTGGTATAGACACTGGGAAGGCAGGCCATGGGCATCCAACTTGTCCATGCGGCAACAGATGGAGAGAGAGGTATATATATATACGGTTTACTGAGCAGCTCTGTTTGACTATATATACCACGACTTCGCTAGCACCCTGCTACGGTATTCTCCGGTCAGGTCGAGCGGCAGTGGTCGGGGCCGTCACTACGCGGCCATGCTGTGCCTCTAGTGCCAGCGGCGTGTCTGGAGTGTATTTTTTGGCTGTGACAGACCTTTCTTTGTTTTGTGGGTGTTTTGCTTGCTTGTGATGGGGTGTGAACCAACAATCTGTAGAGTTTTCCATCTGGTGTGGGTGAGTGATAGTCTGCTTTGACTTTTGCCACAGGTACCTTGAGGGCAGTGGTTGGTGCCCACCTCAGGGTATCAGTTGTCGGGCAGTCGTTGATGCTTAACCACAGCCGGGGTTAAGGTGGATTACCACTTACAGTGTAATCAGTTAGGGGATTCTGCGGACTGTTGAGGGTTCAGCCTCCTGATGAGTCGGTGAAACTCCGACGAAACAGTCTGCCTCGTTTGTTGTCCTCTTGTCCCTGTCTGCCTACGGTTTACTGGGCAGCTCTGTTTGACTATAGGTTGGTTTTGTCCCGTTGTTCGGTCTATTTCACGGGCGTAGCGGTGCTTCATGTGGGACCAGTATCCGTTTTTTTTTTTATTGTCTTGGCATCCTGGTTGGTTGTTTCCCGTTGTTTGGCCTGCATGGGGGCGGTGCTTTTATGTGGGAATCATAATCTAGGATTGTTTTTTATGATGTCCCGGTACGAATTGCTTACGATGACGCCGAATAGGAATGTCGAACAAGGCCATCTCCTGTGTATAGATATGTATCTGGGACTTCTTTTGATTTCTTTGCAGACAAGAATGTTTTGGCATCCTGGTTGGTCTTGTCCCGTCGTTTGGCCTGTGTATGTTGGGGTGGTGCTTGCATGTGGGACTTGTCATCTGGGATCTGTTTTGTTGCCCCCTGTTCGGTTTTATTTGGCTGTTCCCTTCCTCTTTTCTTTGCCTCTTTGCCTTTTGGCTGTGTGCAAGTGGGTCGATATGACACACGGGGGTGGGGGCAGCCGCCGCTCAACCTACATCCACGTGGGCGGCCTTGTACGCAAGAGGTTCTGAACAGGGGGAGTTGTAAGGAAGAAGATAAAAAAACGAATTCATTTTTTCTTTTTTTTCTCTTTCTTTTTTTTCGCTTTTGCGCTCTGATATTCCTGTGACAATATATATATAACTCCGACGAAACAGTTTGTCACAGCCCCTCGTTTGTTGTCCTCCTCTCTCTCTCTGCCTACGGTTTACCGGGCAGTTCTGTTTGTGACGATATATATAAATAAATAATATATATACATATACAGGGTAACCGGCGTTCGGGACGGGCCGAACGCCTGAACCCGAATGCCCGAACGTATGGGACCCCTTGGGGATG